TATATATATATATATATATATATATATATATATATATAAAGAGCCTGTGTTGCCATTTACTTACACTAGTATCAAAATTGTTTGTGTTCACATGAAAGCCTGGAGTGTTGCCTGAGTCAAATGTGTGTTGATGTGTATTTAGGGAGGGGCTAGTTAAGCATTTGTAAAAGGAACTTGGAGGGAGATCATTCTTACACAAACACCTTCATGTGAAAGCTATCACTATATCTGCAGACAATGCTCACATGTCTTTCTAGCTGCAGGGTGCAGTGCAGTGAATGGGGTATGGATGGAGGACATTAAAGTGGCAAAAGCTTGTGGCCCTCAATAAAGATTTAGGAGGATACAACCACTCCCAGATTTTCATTTAATTACTATTCTTACTATGCTGAATAAGTTAATGCTCCTGCTGAGGTCAGTGGAATGAGTGTAACTTATACACTCATTATAGTGAGCTATAGTGAGTGATGAAATCATATTGCTTTGGATTGTTTTTGTTTGTTTTTAAATCAGTTTTATTCACCCCACAAAACTGATGCACAAATTTCTTTCTATTTTGTAGCTCATTCACCAACAACTCTTGGACTCCAGCCCTTGTTACCCCATTCAATGACACAACTGCCAATAAGTCATACCTAATTCTTTTTTTCAGGGATAGAAATGATTTAAAATATAAACTTGTCATTTATTATGTATAAAATACCATTCAAAAGATATTACTGTTAATTTTTTATTTAACACCCAAAGCATTTCCAACATCACTTTGCTGCCCAGGTATGTATCTCTAGTTGGCCTGCAAGACACTTTTATTGATTCTTCATTTTTTGTAAAACTTATGTTTACAAGAAAAAAACAAATCAAAACCTTTTTTTTTTTTTTTGTATTGTCTGGGGATAGTTCACTCTAGTGTGTATCTGTTAATTTATTTGTCATCAAAAGAGCACTTTGCCTAAAAGAAAGGACTGACAAGTGTGCAAAATGTTTACAATCTTTCGTGAAATTGTAGTTTATCATTAGTTTGTATCTGTAAGTTATTGTTATAAATATTATCTGTATTTTTTGTTATATACAACTTTATACTTTGAAGCTTGTATCTGTGAATTTGCAACTGAAATTTATTTTGCCAATGTTTTCTGAATGAACTGAATAAAGCTTCTGTTGTAGCATGCCATGCAAACACATTGTGTTTGTGTTTGAATTATGGCTGTAAATAACACTATAGTTTAATAAGCCCACCATTTTAGGTTTATTAAACATTTTCCATTCCTGTGAAAGTTTCTACCAATTTGTCCTTTTTGTGTGTTTTCAGCAGTAAGTTAACATTAGTCTCTTTAGAATCTAACAACTCTTTATTTTAAAAAGTCACTTTGTTTTGAGCTGTGTTAGTACATTTGAATAGGAAACTTATTTGTAGATGATTGCACTTAACAAAAGAACATGAAAATATCTAATTTGGCAGATAATCTCTTTTGGACAAGCTAATAAAATTAACATGAAAGAAAAGGCAGAACACTTTTCACAATCACCTTTGGGGTGTCCCAAGCCAGAAATAAAGTATGGCCATAAGAATTTATTTCTTCATGGGTGAAAAAGGAGGAACTATAAGCATTTGGAGTTTATGAGGGAGGTTTCAAGAACTCTGTTTTTTCTTCCTAGTGAATACCTTATAGGGATTGTGATTCTGACAGCTGAAATGTAAACCTCAGGACTTTATCCTATGTGACAGTAAGCACTTGTCTCTGAATTAAAAAAGTGAATAGTACACCCTCACTAATTTTTGGATTTAAAGAACTTAATCAGTATTTGGTTATCTTTCATATACCGGTCGGGGTGGGGAGGGGGAGAAAAGGTAATGAGAAAAAAATTTGAAAATCTTAAGTCTTTGTGAGATTTACATCTGGCTGAGGACTGGAAGTAATAATGAAGTATTTTTAATTCTATTCTAGTAATCATATATGCAACCAGAGAGCAATCATGTGGACATGTTTGTCTGCCTCAAACCAGAGGCAACAAACCTAAGCTTCACTATGGAAGAAAGAAGGAAAAAGAATTTTTTTTTAAATCTGGTACTCCAGTTAGAATTCCTTTGACCAAAAACAAAAAACATAGCCAAAAGTCACTCTATCTGATGTTATGAGATTGATGTTAATCTCCCTGGGTTTTTGTCTACCTGTCACAGGCATGAAGTGGTGAGGTCAGCTTTACCTTTATCAGATGTCAAGGAAAGATCTTGTAGTCTAGCCAAGCTCTACACTGTTAGCAGCTTATAACATTTCCCAGCTGGATCTAATTGGCATCCTTTAGTTTAGGAGGTGCCTCGTTGTGAGTATTCATTTTCTCTCTGCCCTTTTTTTCCTGTGCTTACCGCCCTCTGACTCTGTACAAACCACATCACTACCCTTTTTAGTTCCAAAGATGAATACCCAAAGTTGAAGTAAAACTTTCATAACAGAGATTCAAAGCTACTAAAATTGATGTGATTTATATATCTTGCATATAAAATGGTTAATAATGAATAGAGAGATGAAAATACTAAAAAACGTGATAACAGGCATATGGCCATGCTCTCATTTCTATTTGTGGAAGTCACAGATCCTAATTTAAAACTTAAAATTAGGAAAGAACTGAAGTATTTCCAGGCTAGTAATATTCAGTGTACGCATATGGGTACTATGCTTATTTGCTTGAAATTGGGGGTGGCCATACAGTTTTTTGTGAGGATTAGAGGAAGAAAACCTTTTATTGTTGGAGTAGCTAAAACCTGGGTAACAAGTAGTTATTGCTTAGGTGTTAAGAGATTCTTGGGTTGTGAGAGGGTAGGATAAGTTTTTTGCAATGCAAATCAAGAATCCTATTCAAACATTGAAACTAAGGTCACACTAAGTGAATACTCCTTAGGTGATTCTTGTTGGTAAGACAAGGTCGCATTAACACTTAGCAGTAATTTTACATTTTACAAATGTCACTGTTAAAATTCCACATTACTTATTATAAATCGAAAGTATATCTGTTGAGTATCCAATGATAAACACTGTTGGGTAGAATCATAATTCATGCTTTTAAAATTTGTTACAAGCATTTGAAAGTTGATAGCAGTAGTATTTCTTGGCACATTATGTATATAATTACTTCAGTAGCATTATGAGAGTAGGTGGGATCTTGGGACTTTTGTTATTGCATGGAGGATTTTACCAGTTAGGAAAAGAAATGCTTCTATTTTATTTAGAACAGAAGTCATTTAGGGTGCAATGTACTAAGCATCAAAAGTATATTAGACAGGAAAAATTCTAAATGGTGCTCATCCCAGGAGGTAATGGAAATGAAATTGGTACTATTTGATTTTTGCTTTTTTGAAATACCACTAAATTTTTAGAGGAATGGATTTGAATTTAAAACAAGTTCAGGTGTACTGGATAACATCTAATAAACATCTAATCACATAGTAAATACTGTCCTATAGCTTGCTTTTCCCATTTAATACACATTTTTCCAAGTCAAATATTCATCTACAACATCATTTTAATTGATACATAGTGCTGTGATCTGAATGTGTACCCCCCAAATTAATATGTTGAAATATAATCTGCAATGTGATGGTATTAAGAGGTAGGGCTTTTGGGAGGTGACTAGGTCATGAGGGCCAAGTCTTTCTGAATGGGATTAGTGCCCATATGAAAGAGTCCTCAGGGAGCTTATTTGTCCCTTTGCTCTTCTGCCATATGAGGACACATAGCAGGTGCCAGATACGAGGAATGAGCTCTCACCAGACACCAAATCTGCTGGTGCCTTGATCTTGGACTTCCCAGCCTCCAGAACTGTGAGCAATAAACTTCCGTTGTTTACAAATTACCCAGTCTAAGATATTTTGTTAAAGCAGCCTGAATGGACTACGACATATAGTATTACATTGCTTGGATGAAATAACTTGTTGGATATGAAGGTTGTATGTAATTTTTCATTGTGATGAATATACTCTAACATTGTGAGCACGTTCAATATGTTCTGAGTGCCTTGGATATATTTTGTTAAACATTCACAGCAACCTCACGAAACAGGTTCTATTATCATTATCTCTATTTTACAAATGTGGAAATTAAAAAGTTAATATAGGGCTGGCTGATTAGGTCACTTGGTAGAGCATGGCAATGATAACAACAAGGTCAAGGGTTCAGATCCCTGTACTGGCCAGCCAAGAAAAGTAAATAAAGTTAATATGTCCAGTATCTCAGTGACAAGTAACAAAGACAAGATTTGAACCTAGCAATTCAGTGACTTCAGATACCACATTCGTAATCTCTATGCTTTACTCTCTATTTTGAACAACACTGTGATGAGCATCTTCATAGCTACCTTTTTATTCACATCCTTATTTCCCCAGTATGAATTCTTAGAAGTGGAATGTATGTAGATGCATAGTTTTAAGATTCTTGAAATGCATTAATTGCCCCAGAACGTTGCACTAAATTACATCCCCACTAGCAGTGTTTGAAGTATTTCTAGACCCTTGTCTATCCTGCCTACCGGTGGTAAATATCTTAATTACCTTTTTCCTAATTTTATAGTCAAAAAGATAATTTTTAAAAAACTTTATATTTCATTTGTTACCTGATATGAAATTTTAGTTTGCATTTCAGAGAACTAGGTTCTTGTAAAAGGGGTAAAATTAAACATACGCTGCCACTTTCATGACTTTTTTCCTTTAGTTTTTCTGCATATCTAGCAAAAGTGAACATTCTTTAGGATTTGGTCAGCTGAGGTTTCATTTACTTTAGTACGTGGCACTCTTTATACCATTCCATTAGCTTTGTTGATGATGATAGCAGTATCTTAGCCCTTCACTCTTTTCAAGTGCTTTTCTGTACATCCTCATATCCCCATTCAACAGATGGGGGAATTCAAATTTAGGGAACTTTAACATAGTTAGGCCTTTGGTTTTAATATATAAGAGTTCTCCAGAGCACCTGTTTATTTTTATAAATGTATAGAGATCTCAGGAGACTAAATTCATAAGTGAGTCCCAATTGGTTGAGTTTTGTAAGAAATTCTGAAAAACGAAAAAGGTGGACTTCATAGGCCCAGAGGATGGGAAAACCACTGTAGGAAACCCCCTGCTTTTCTAAATCGTGTCAACAATTGCAGTACTTACCAAGTATTTACCAAGGATCTGAACTTGGTAGGCTAAGAGTGGAGTTTAGGGGTAGACTGTGTACATATACATGTGTGTGTGTGCATGTGTGTGTGGTGGGGGTATCAGAGGAAGAAAGAAGGATGTTAATTAAAGAAAGGGTAGTGAGGGGCCGGCCCGGTGGCGCACTGCTACAGTGCGCCGCTTGGGAGCGC